TGCCAACTGCTTTGGGAACTATCTTGCACAATCAGGAAATGGACTTGACTTTTCCTTTCTCTTGAGGCTTTTCAGGATAGACCCTTCTGGGCTTTTGTTAAGCCTACATCTTGAGTCATGCTATGATCCCTGAAATATGTTGATGGATTCCTTTTAGTTTCCTTGGATATCTTTCTATAAAGAGTTATATGTGATCTTTCTGACACATAACTGTGTCGTTGGTCTAAATAATTATATGGAGAGAATATGTTAATTTGAAGGGGACCTGATAGGAATATTAAAGGAAGCTTTTAGTCAGTCTGTGGCTAGATTTATTGATTTGGCGAACAAACCTGTATTTTTTGCTGACTTTCAGCTAATGGCTAACTGTGGTCAAAGAATGGCTTTCACTTAATGTTTTGACTTACTATAAGTAAGATAAAGAATGTTTTAGTAATTAGAAATCCTTTAAAACGTAGAACAAATGTACAAATAAGACTCATCATCTTTTTATAAGAAAAACACACAAGCCTTTATCATTTATTCATGAGCTAAAGCCATTAAGATAAATCAAATTATCAACTTCCTGTCTGTGAGGTTTGGGTCGTTTTTATAGATCTGTGTAATAGAGCACTTCTTTCCTGTGAGATAGATGGTTTGCAATATCTTACCCTCTCTCATTAAAAGTATTTGTCACTTGTAACTATAATCAGAATCCAGTAAACAAGCTTATCTTTATTTTGGCGGGGCAAATTTCACAGACTATAAACTTAACTTTAAGACAATCCTGATGACAAAACATTTTTAAAAGCCTATTTAGCCAGCTGTGATGGCACACCCCTTTAGTTTCACCACTTGGGAGACAAAGTCATGTGGATCCCTGTGAATTCCAGGCTAGGGCCACATAGTGAAAGCCTGTCTCAAAAAAAAAAAAAAAAAAAAAAAAAAAAAAAAAAAAAAAGAAAAGAAAAAGAAAGCATACAGTATCCTGTGGGAAAAGCTTTGGGACAAAACTAACTCCAAGATAGTGTTTCTAATTTGCAAGTTTGAAGAGATTATTCTATTGTCTTACTTTCCTGCGAAATATAAGTAATGGTACTGTCCCTTGGTTTCCTGAAAGTTCATTCAGTAAGAGGTGTCCCTTGGAGCATAGTTGAAAATAATTGCTGAGTAGCTATTCCATACGATCTAGAATGATCAATTTTCAAAATATCACTGCTGTGGAGCATACAAAATCACATTCACTTAGTCTGTAATAGGCCTTCTTGACTTGATCTGACCATGGAGATAACAATAATTTGGGTCTACAAACTCTACAATTAAATGATTGCAATTTCCTCCTTCCTTTCATAAAAATGTAAACTAATGTTTGCCTTATTTGCAAAGATGATTACATTTGCAGGAAATAGAGATAATTTTGCCATTGTTATAAATCAAATTTAAGCTTTCAGACTTGGGAGCCATGGTATAAAACTCAAGGAAGTTTATTTAAATTTTGCGGGCTTTGCTAAGATTGGTTCGATTTTGTATTGGCCAGTATGAACTATATATACTTGAATATACAGAGCCTAATGATGTCATAAAGCTATATTGTCAGTCATGGTATGTGACCCATACTATCTCCACTTTCTAATCTTGGCAAACATTTGTGGATTTAAAAAAAAAAAATTTGATCTAAATAAATTTTCATTTAATTAAATCTTCACAAAAGAAATCCAAACGCATTGTTGTTTTTTAAAAATGTGTGTCGTGTGTTAAATTCAGGAGCATACCTTGATTCACTTGGGAAAGTCAGAGGACAACTTTTTGTGGGCTGGTTCTCTTGTGGTTTGACTTTGAGGCAGGGTCTCTCCTTGTTTACATCCAGCCTCACCATGGGAGTGCTGGAATTACAACTGCTGGCCACAGCATCCAGGTTTTCACAGCGGTTTAAATAAATGATCAAAATTGTCAGGATTTTTTGGCAAGCACCTTTACCTGCTAATCCAAGCCTTGTGGTTTTGTTTTCCAGCTCTTTATCATTGTTTCGGGCTGGGATGCAGTGGGGGGGGGGGTATCATGTGGCAGGTGTGGAGGTCAAAGTCAAAAGACAATTTGTGGAGTTACTTAGTCTACCTTTACCTTTGTACCAGACGTCAAACTCCGATTGTCAAGCTTGCACAACAAGCACTTTAACCAGCTGAGCCATGTTTCTGGACAGTGTTTTTGTTTTAAAAAGCATTCCTATCTTTGAATGAAAATGAGTACAGGACCATTCCTAGGAATAGTTGAGAAGAGGGGTTTTGTTGTAGATATGAAGGAGAGAACTTTCAAAGGCATCTGGAAGGATTCAAACTTGCAGCAGGCTTTCTTGGACTGCCAGCCCCCAAATCATGACACAGACCTATTGTTAATTATGAAAGCTTGGCCTTGGCCTTAGCTTAGGCTTGTTTCTAGCTAGCTCTTATAACTTAACCAGTTTCTATTAATCTACATGCTGCCACATGACCCGTAGTTTTTACCTCTCCTGCATATCCTGCCTCTTCTCCCCAGCCTAGCTTCATCTCTTATTTTCTCTCTTTTTGCCTAGCAATATGTTGTCCATTCAGCTCTTTATTAAACCAATCAGAAGGCACCTTGGCAAAGACACATCTTCACAGTGTACAAAAAAGATTTTTCCACAACACAAACTAAACCAGACCATGAGGAGAGGACTAAGAGAAGAACTGAGGACTATGAAGCCAAGAGCAGACTAGGAAATCAAGACAGCACTTAGTCAAGATGCCTGGGCTTATATAAGCACCAGAGGCTAGCGGAAGGGAAGCACGGAAGCACAGCCACTGGGCTGGAGAGGCTTAGGGTAGGAGCCATGGTGAGAAGTCCCGGGAGTAACCACAGGACCTGAGTGAGACTTGTCCAGGGTTTCCTTGGGACCTGACACACCTCATATATTCAAGTCAAAAGTCAGGAAAGGAAAAACTGAAAAATGTATAGATATACTTACATTTTGCTTTTTGGTATATCAGTTTTGAGTCCACAAGAAAGAGAAGCCAATCCCAAAAGCCACAGCTCTCATCCTAAATCAGTGGCTCTCAACCCTCCCAATGCTTTAACACAGTTCCTTATGTTGTGGTGACCCACCCCCATAAAGTTATTTTCATTGCTACTTCATAACTGTAATTTTCTACTGTTATGAATTGTAACCTGGGGGGGTCACAACTCACAGGTTAGGAACCACTGCTCTCAATTTAAAATTTAGAGGGAATAAGAGATAACTCATTCTAGGGCCATTTTTGAGTGGTGATGGTTCCAAAACACAAATTTAGGTTACCTCATATTCCTTGTTCCAACAGGGAACCAGTAGCATGAAGTTTTTATAGTTTTACAGAACAGAGAAAATCATAGATCAAGGCAAATTTAAGATACACTGTGTGTACATCAGAGAGGCAGGTGCATCAAGATAGAGGAAGCTTTCCTATAGATCTAAGATACCATCTGATGACATTCTTAGCTTTTGGATTGGTAGAAGCTAGTTGCCTGTGAAGTCAGTACATTCTGAAAGGTTTTTATTGCCACAAAATGTTAGTTTCGACAGAAGTAGGCAAGTGTTAGTATTCAGAGATTTACACTGGCCTGCTCTCAGGGGCTATTACAAGGTGCTGTAACTATCACATTCATGCCATACAGGAAAGAGTGTTAATGCTTTCATCCAGAATCCTTTTTGGCTCCCCATGACTCTAAGGTGTGATTATAAACAGAGGGAATGACAATGTGTTTTAAACTTATCTCTTTTGTAAACTCAGAAAAATTCTTGTGAGCTCCAGGAAGTCAACTTGGATCTACCGGAACAGATCAGATTAAGTTTCCCCACCTACTGCCTGTTCCTGAGGGTGGGATCTCCCAGGCCTTCTCCTGGTCTTGGGATTCCCCTCCCTCAGTTACCAGGACCTAAGAAAAAAGAATTTCCCCTAAACTTCTTAACTTCACCTTTTGCTCTGCCAGTATCTTACCAGGTCCAGAGGTCCTCTCAAAATCTGCATCCCAGACAGCTTCAAAGAGGCTACCCCCAAGTTGCCCAATGTCAGACTGCTTCAACTAGACCTGCACTTTCCTAGCACAGGAAGGTCCCACAGAGCCTGGACATCAGTGAAAGCCAGCTATCCCAGGAGTTAGCCAGCATCTCAGCTTTCAAAAGATGCTGACACCCCCAGAAAGTAGGAGTCAGTCTGGAGAACACAATGCCCCCATTCCCACCTCACCAGGTACCCTTCCTGTTTTCTTTTTATAATAAACAACAACAAGTATCCAGGCATTTACACTGGCTTGCTCTCTTGGACCTGCCACGACAGTCAGCAGGTGATGTGACACTGTAGCTGCTACAGCAACTAAGGAGAGTGAGTACTCTCCCTTTGCGCTATATCCTCTAATAAAAGGCAAGCACTTCTCACCCTCTCTTTCCTTCTACTCAGAGGCCAGCTCTGCAACTCCCCCTAATAAACTTACATGAGATCTGTTGCACGGTGTGACTTTGTGGTGCCCCTTGGCTCCAAACCCAACAAGATTGCCACTGTTCTAAAGAGCTAAAGCTAACCCAAGATAAGGTACTTAGCATCTGCAACATTCTAATCTTTCCTTGGTACTGAAATTCTAGTTAGCCACTCACTCATTGAAACATAGATTGCTATCAAGTTTCTATTCACAACCCTTTGGAAATTCTTCCTCATCTTTTTAACTTCAATTTTGGCCGGATCATGACAGCCAGCCTGAAGCCTGGCTGCAAAGAACGCTGGACGTAAAGAATCCAAAATCTGCTTCTAGCCACGGGCTTGCCTTTAGCATTACGGACAGGTCAAGAGATTTTCCTGCGGGGCTTTTGAACTCAGGAAATGTGACGCTTTCCCGCGCTTTACCCAGAAAAAAACACTCCAAGCTCCGTGAGCCACGCAGCGTTGCCTGCAATGTCGTGGGCGGCCGGCTAGGGGCGCAGGACGGCTGGGCGGCTGGGCGGGGCGGGCGGAAGTAGCGGGCAGCCAGGCCGGCCTCCACGCTTCCCTTTCCGGTGCCAGGAGGAGCCGTGTTGCTGCTGCCTTGGTCCGTCAGGCCTCCGGCCGGTTCTCCATTGCTCGTTCTCTTAATTCATCGTCGCCACTGTGCCGCGCCTAGGGCTCGTATCCTGCCGGGTGAGTCCGCTTTGGCGCCCGCGGGGGATGAGGCGCCGGGCTTGCGGGTGGCGGCGCGAAGATGCGGGGTACCCGGGGGCCTAGCGGTTCTGAGCCTTCGGCAGCTCTGGAGGATCCTCCGGGGACCAGGCGACCGAGGGGTCTAATGTAGCCCTGTGGAGTTCCCGGACGACCGACCACGGCATGCCAGACTCGGGGGTAGGGCGGGAGCGAGCGACCCTCCCCCACACTCCCGCCGGCACGACCCGCTGGTGGCTGGTTCGCTCCGGTTGATCCTGGATTCCCTTTGTTCGCATGGCCCTAAAGGGCATCTTGTCTAGCACCCCTTGTTTGCCCCATGCCCCACCATTCGTACCCCAGCCACTGATTTCTAATAAAAACAGTAGTGGAGGAGACCTGAATCCTCCTTTGCAAGAAGGTCTGGCGCCTGAAGATTCTGTGTGACAAGGTTCTTGCTGTTCGTAATTACCCATTCGTTAAATGACTACCCGGGACAGAATGTGCCAAGGGCTGAGTAACGTTCTCTTGGAAGATTTAGGCGCAGATTCAACGCTTGAATCATTTTCCTCTCTGCCTTGCAAACCGAAAGTAATATTTTCACTAAAACTAATGTTGAATCAAACTAGACCCCACCGTAGTTTTATTACACACGTGTACCCCCGGTGTGGTAAAGACCTGTCTTGAAGCCAAACCCTCATTACCGGGGTCGCCTTCGAAAGCCTTTGTTTAATGGTGTTCCTTGGGTAGGGAGAGTAGTTTTCCTACTCATGATGTGTAGGAGCCACTCTGTAAAAAATAATTTGCTTCAGAGACTTTAATGCAGTCGCCGAAGTTGTAATGTTCTTTTGAATTCAGAAGGAATCCCGATGTCCATCTTCACTCTCTTAACTGGGGTTGAGTCTTGAGGCCAGTGTGCTTAGGAATTCAACAGTTTTCACATTTTATAATTTATAAATACTTGTTTCAGAGGCGAGGTAGCACCCCTAGACTTGAGGGCCATTAGTCCAGTATTAATATTTGTTCAGGCTAGGCCTGTAGTTCAGTATTTGAGCGCTGGCCTGGCCTCCTGGGAGGCCCAAAATTCAGTCCTCAAAATGCAGCAGTTGTAAATATTCAGACTATAATGAAATGGATAAATAGTTTAGGTCAGCTTTTGCCACCAAGTAAGCTTTGTGCCATACCTCAGAGATTGCATTTTCTAAGCTTTCTGGTTTGAAAATAGACAAAGGTTTGTGGTCAAATTATAACAGTGTAAAAGCTAACGTTTGTTCAGTTTTTGCTCTGTGCCAAGCAGTGACTTAAGAGATTTATTTACAGATTTATGTAAGCCTCACCACTTTCTGGAAAATAACCACTTATTCTGGTTTATGACACTCAGTGAACTGGATTTGACCAGAGGCCAGGCAGGCAGTCTACCCCTTTACCTGTGTGTGTGTGTGTGTGTGTGTGTGTGTGTGTGTGTGAGAGAGAGAGAGAGAGAGAGAGAGAGAGAGAAAGAGGGAAGCTTGGGCTGAAGAGGGAGGGAGATGGGTCAGGGTTAAAAGCATGCACTGTTTTTGGAGAGGACTGAAGTTCTGTTCCCAGCATTCTTCATGAGACAACTCACAACTCCCTGTAACTCCAGCTACAGGGAATTCACCTCTGACTTCCTTAGGAACCTGCATCCAAGTGAACAAAAACCCATGCGCTCTGTTGTTTTGTTTTGTTTTATCGGGAAGGAGAGAATTGAATTGTTGCTTACCAGATGTTTTCCAAGCACTGCTTTAGTTACTTGGTCAGAAGGAGCCTGTTTCGTTCCCATTTCTCATTACTGGCCCCAGTTCTAAATACTTGAAGACACTGAAGTTGACTTCAAGCTATAAAGCTAAAGTATTAGGATCCTTGTCTAAAGGCCTCTGCTTTCTTTGTGTATTCCAGCCAATCTGAACGGCTTCTGCTTTCCCATGGATTGTCTATCTTCCCTCACAGATATATACAAACTGTTCTCACCCTGGAGCCTGCTGTGAACATTAATAGCCCCTTACTTTTATTCCAGACTGCAGACACACCACACACCTCTCATTTGGTTTCCAATAATTATGAATAACTTATAAAAGACACTACAAGGAATTTTGAAGTGTTAAGAACAGCCCATGCTTTTTTAATTACTCAGCTGTAAAACTGAATATAATCTGATAAATTAGCCAGTACTAAAAGCTAATGTAGATTCTAATTCAGAATCTTCGTTCAGTATTATATATTCTGTCTTGCTTGTCCACACTAAAATCACAAAAGTCCTGGTTTTCCTTGGTTTCTCTGAATTTATATATGTATGAGAGGTGTGTGTGTGTGTGTGTGTGTGTGTGTGTGTGTGTGTATTTAGCTTCTTGGTCAATGAAGTATCAAGGAGTCGCAGCTTTTACAGATGTTAAGAAACTTGCTTTTGGCAGACAGGATTGATGTTCATGTTTAGGTGCAGTCTTACACTGTTTGGTCTCCTGTCACAGTTTGATGGCCATTTGTCACTAATAACTCAGTGGCTTTTAGCTTTCTTTAACGTTGGATGAGGATGATTGCCTAAAAGACCATAGAAACTACTGGCGTGTTGTTTTTCTCTTCTAAGACTGCCAAAAGACATTTCCATTATATGGTTTTTGTTTTTACTCCTAAGGAAATAAGTATTTTTCAGCCTGGGAACAGTGAGACCCTGTGTAAAAAGGGGAGGAAAGTGAATATCACTATCTGCCTATGCCTTGTTCTTGAATTAGGTCTGATGTTTTAAATCAGACCTAATGGAGAGTTTTTAAAGTAAAAGCTTTTAATTGTACAAAACTTGTTTGTTTGTTTGTTTTTTGAGCCTAAGATATGTATGTGGCACAGGCTATCCTCAAGCTCCCAGCCTTGCTGCCTCAATGCCATGGCCTCCATCTCACCCAACGTTAAAAATACTCCTGGTTCTAAACTTATTCTTTGCTTTTGTTCTTATTTGTTTACTTATTTGGTTTGATTCCCCATACACACACACACATACCAGGTTTCTCTGTGTTTCCCTGGATATCCTGGAACTCACTCTGTAGACCCGGGTAATCTCAAACTCAGAGATCTGCCTGCCTCTGCCTCCTGAGATTAAAGGTATGCACCACCATTGGTCTGCCCTAAACTTTTTTTTTTTTTATGTTCTCATATTTGCAACCACTTCATTAGTACAGATGTGTGTTTATGTGGTTTTGTGACCTTCAGCAACAAGGCTCAAGCCTAATCACTGATAGCCAACATCAGTTTGTTGTGGGACCTGGGAGAATGGAACCAATAAGTGAGGTGAAGTAAAATCTCATGCAATAGCCCACTTTATTCAGAGCATCTGACAATTTATACTCTGGAAGCTTAAAAGGAGCCACATGAGTAAAGTTTATAATCATAAGGGCACACTGCATGCAGAAATACATATGTTCGTAGAGGTCCATAAACAAAAGTAGCCAGTTGCAATGAATAATCTGAAGTAAACTCAGTCCTATCCCAAAAGCACAGTCCAAGAACAATTTTGTGTTTTTTGAATAAACTGAGTTCACAAGATTCTTGTCTTGGTTTCTTGGGTCTGTATCATGAGCACTCAGAAATCATACATGACTCCATTCTTGCACTGTGTTCTGATGTCTTTCCCCTTTTGATTTTTTTAAATGCAAGGTATCCAGGGTGTTTTTTGTTTTGAGACGTAGGTAAGTCTAATAGTCATTTGGTGCGTGAGTGTCCCAAAAGCAAACAAGTTGTGCTAATATTAGAACAGTGAAAGCCTTGTGTATAATACTCTGCCTCCACGAACAGTAATCCAAACTGTCCAGTGCTGTTTGTTACATTTCATTGATAAGGAAAAATCTAGAGAATAGCTTAAAAGAGACTTATTCTGGTATCTTGTGGAACATAAGCTCATATTTGCCTTTTAATAGAAAACATGTTATAATGTCCCTTCCAAATAGGAAGTGATTTAAATCCCAAGGAAAAGTTAAATGCACTCCGTTCTTCAGATGAGTGAATGAGTCTATTATAGTCTCAAGGTGTATTCATAAACAGTCTTTGGTGAAGTAACTCTCCATTGGTGCATAGGACCTGAACTTGGCCCCAGATGGGCAGACTTGACTTCTGATATGGTTGATACCTCTTTTTGTCCTTTACTGGGAGATTTGCTCTTTCTGGTGACTCTCACCTCGCCCTCCACTGCCATTGGATTGATGGCCCAGGGCTGGAGGATCCGAAGAAGAGTGCATAATTTTTTCGGTGGATCCGTATGGAATGACAAATGGATCCCCTTCCCAATTTTCTTCTGAAAAGAAAAAAATAGAACAGCTTGCTATCTCCTTCTGCAATAAGACCAGAGAGTTAGTGTGCATGAGTGTGAGTAATAAAGAGTGTGTAGATTGTAACCAGATATCAGGGTTCCTGTAGTAATGTCAGCATAGCAATGTGAAGACAATTAGAACAGTTTCTATTGATGAAAATAATCCCACAACATGAGCAGAATCAATATTTAAGGACTTATGAATTAACCATAATAGATGAATCAAAATAGCCATCAATAAAATAAGTTTCTGTCTGTGAAATGGGAGATGATTGGGCAATGTTTTTAATTACAAATTCACTCCATATGAGAAAATCCCATAGCCTACCAATTAGACTTCATGTCCTTTCATAGTAATTTGGAAATGGAATTTTAAAATCCATAGAGTTCTGTAACACTCTTTAAAACTGATTGTTAGTTAAGAGTAGTATATAATGTAATACAGCAAGGGTCAATCCATGTGATTGTTGACATCGGATCCTCCTGATTTACTAATTGAGCAAGAAGAGTAAGGTAAACCACTAGTAGTTTATGGCCCTTGTGGTGTAAATGAATCAATTCCAAAGGTTTTTCCCTCATGTGCTGTAATACCTGTAGAAAACAGGTTAGTGGGGGAAATTAAGTCTAAAGGCAGTGATGAAGGTTCCACACTAAACAACAATGCTTCTTTTAGTATGGATACAAATAGCTGTACTTCTTTTGCCCAGTGCCATCTCTCCTTCTGGAGTTTTAAATAGATTGGTAGTGCATGTAAACATTTTTTATTTGGGGGCCAGAGAGATGGCTCAGTGATTAAGGGGCATTGACTACTCTTCCAGAGGTCCTGGGTTCAATTCCCAGTACCCACATGGCAGCTCACAATTGCCTGTCATTCCAATTTTAGGGGACCTGATACCCATGCTAAAACATCATTACACATAAAAATGTTAAAAAAAAAATGGAAAACTTAAAAAAAAATTTTTTTTTTTTTTTTGATCTTTGAAATTGCATTGAAAATGCCAATCATTCCCCCATTGGGGGCTTGGGAGACATTGATGAATTCTGTTTCCCTGCTGTGCCCTGGCTTGCCTAGGCTGTTAACTCAGCATTTTCATTGACTCTCCTAAGTCCTTATCAGGAAATGCAGGCAATATAAGATTAGATTGATTATCAGTTTCCTTACCCCAGCCTTCAGGTCTTGTTCAGGCAGCGGTTCTAAAGGAGCCTCTGGTAAGGATGCTGAGAGAATCATCACAGCATAGTAGAAACGGCACGATTTTTACTTTCTATTTTTCCTGCTCTTTTGTCCCTTTTGCCAATTTTAAGGTTTGATCATTGGGTTTATATTCACTCAAGGGATTACCCATCTCTTCCTCATGATTAATATTCTCCTTATCTTCCTTAATCATTTTGATAACAGCCTGAATTAATACCCAAGTGACCCAAAATTGAACAGAGATCTTTCTCCCTATTTATATGCCTTATTCAGTTTTTTTTTTTTTTTTTTTTTTTTTTTTTCGACGATGTCCTATACTCCTTCACCTAAATTAGGGACACTTGCAAGCAATCTAATAGTTATGATGTTAATGCTTGTACTCCTCCTTTCTTTAAAAAATGGTGCTCAAGAAAAGACACACATTAGTAGAAGGAGCCATTATAGGTTTAAAGAGAAATCTGGCACTAGAGAAATGTCCAGAGATGGACAAGGATAACCCCACTTAAGAATCTAAGCAATAGTGGAGAGGATACCATAAAAGCCATCCTAGAGCCTTTATGTGGTAGCTGGTGGAAGCAGAAGCAGAGATCCACAGCTAAGCACTGAGCCATATTTCTGGTATCCAGTTTCAGAGAGGGAGGAATGATGAGCAAAGGGGTCAAGATCACACTGGGAAACCCCACAGAATTAGCTGACCTGGGCAAGTGGGAGCTCATGGACCCCAGTCTGACAGCTAGAACAGTGACAGGTGGTGCCCAGAACAAGTACAGGATTAGAGTGGGGGTGCTCACACAAGAAGGCAAGAACAACAGGACAGAAGCCAGGGAAGGCTTCGCCTGATGTCCAGCTTGTGCATCTTTTTTTTTTTAATACATATTTAAACTAGAAACAATCTTATTTCACATATCAGTCAATCCCAGTTGTGTCTCCCTCCCATCCTCCCTTGAGGAATGAGGAATCATCAAAACTAGGGATACCTCCTGGTTCCACTGCCAGAGGCTCCATAGACTGCCCAGGCCTCCTAGCTGACAGCTATGTTAAAGGGGTCTGGTTTGGTCCTATGCTGGTTTCGCAGCTGTCAGACTGGGATCCAACACAGTCTAAACAAAAACAACTTCTTTAGTGTGTATTTCATAAGAAATGTTTTTGTTTTGTTTGTTTTTGTTCCCAAATCTCAAACTAAAAGCAATAATCATGCTTAAACATCAAAAGCATTTTCAGGGGTGTTAAAAACAAGACCCATGTACCACCATCACCTTTTAACTTTTTATTATTTGAGTACTATTTGATGCAAAAGAGAAAGGAGCCATTGGTACTAGGGAAATACAACAAAACTGTTGCCTGGAAACTGTATTGAATCAAATGAAAAACTTTTAGAGAATAAAGAAATCTAATATAACTTGCAAAAGTAATACTCTACTCAGATATGGGTAACCACTTAGAGAATATGGCTCAAGGAGCCTATTTATGTCCATAAGAAAAGGAGCTAGAAGCCTGAAAAGGAAGGTATACACTAAGGTGGGTGTGGTGGCACATGCAGGTCCCAGCTCAGAAGTGCCAGGACAGGACTGCTTGAACTTGAATTCAGTTCCAGCCTGTGTCAAAAGGAAAATAAATATCAGCATATGCCTAACCATCACCCAGATTTGTCCATAAACTTTTAAGACATTTCTCAACCAAAATATCAGGTGTTTTATTTTATCTACACCACCAAAAAAGATCCTGGAAAAATTAACTATGAAATTCAGGAACATCTGAAGAAACCACAAGGTAGCTAGCACAAGTGTCTGCTTAAAATGTAAAGGCATCCTAGTTGAATGTGAAGCTACAAGCAGGTCAGGAGTCCTCTATACCTGTGAGAATAATTGCATCTAGTGTCTGGTTAGCTGGAATCGAGCTGCCTCATTGCTTAAGCAACTTGACCTGTAAGCTGGGGTAATGATAAAATTTGAACATCCCTGTTCACAGTAAGGATTCAGTAAATACTATTGGCAGTGGCAGCCCAAGTGTTTTAGGGGTACTTATCCTGATAATTGAGAAGAACTGGGCTATTTATTAATTACTACATAGAAGAATTGAGAAATAGTAAACACATCAAACCACAAACATACTCAAAGTGGTGGCTGTCTTTGTTGATTATAAAATTGAGACATCACAAGTAGAGACAGTGCTCCTGGCTTGGGCATAGGTTTTAGTTACATGGCTAACACACCAAGGTTAGGATTGTCAGGAAATATGGGACCTGCTGTGGTGCCTCCTGGAAAATGTTGAAGAAAATTGAAATTAGCCAGCACACCAACTACGCTTGCTCCTTCTGTGGTGAGACCATGATGAAGAGGGAGACACTGGCATCTGACACTGTGTGTGGTTCCTGCATGAAAACAGTGACTATCGGGGCCTGGACCTACTTCTTCCAAGGTCACAGTGAAGGCTTCCATCAGAAGACTGAAGGAACTAAAAGACCAGTAGATGCACTACCATTTGAGACTTGCATAGCCTGCAATAGATGGGCTAATTTACATAACAAAAAAACCAAGTGGAGACAGATTAATAAAGATATACCATTTGAGAGAATTGATGGCCTTTACAGAAAGTTTTTTTCTCATACAACAGCAAGTTCTTGTCGTCTAACAAAGTGGTGTAGGTGGAGTGATATGTTAAATACAAATAACAAGGGAAAAGAAAGAATGCCTGTTGTCTTATTCTAGTCATACAGAGTCGGCAACCAGCAAAAGCAGACTAAAAAGTGACAGCAGGGGTCAGGTGACCGAAGGAATGGAAGTGTTCAAGGCTGATGGAAACATATCTTGTTTATAGTAGCCAAAGCTTAAGGTGAACACTTGCACTTTGTAGTTTATCCAGTGTTGATTATACTTCAACTTGAAAATTGGTAAGGGGTGGGACACTGCATAAACCAGACATCATGTCAGAGGGATCAGAAATTCAGGGTCACCCTCTGCTAAATATCAAGTTCAAGGCCAGCCTGATATACACAAGATCCTGTGTCTAAAAAATAAAATTATAAAAAGATTGGTTGGGGCACTTGTGCCCCTGGATTCCATGCCTAACACTGTGGTTGTTTGGTGCAGTAATGCAAGTGGTCCGTCCAGTGACGGCAGAAGATTCACAGGGAGTGAATATAATTAGGGTCTTGAGTTTTAAAAGACTGTTAATCTGTCATGACTTAAAGCAGGTTATAAAGTCTTAATAATACCAAGAGCTTTTTTTCTTTTGTTTTTGTATTTTGTTTGCTTGTTTAGAGGTCACAGCATAGATTGGCATAGGTTAACTAGGTACATTAAGTACACTTGCATGTTTGACTGTATTCCACTTCTCTTTTCTGGTCATACATAGTTAGACTTGAGGGGAGGTGAGTGGACATGTGCTATGCCAGTGCCTAAAAGACCCTATGCTGCCACAAAGGTCGGCATGAGTAGTGTTGCTCACACTGAGCAGGTTATATTTAAGGATCTATCTGTATGTACATTCATATATGCAACAATAGTTGATTTTTTTTTTTAAAGGCCATGAGTTTTAAATGGCAAGGAGTATATGGAAGGGTTTGGAGGAAGGGAAGGAGGAAATAATCTAAGTATAAATTCAAAAATAAAAGGTTAAAAACGTTGAGTAAGCCAGTAATTAGTGTTTGTCTGTGGCCTCTCCTTCAATTCATAACACTTAGTTCCTGCCTGATTTCCCTCAGTGATGGACTTTGACCTGAGAGTTAGTTGTAAGGTAAGACACACCCTACCCTGCTGCCAAAAAAAAAAAAAAAAATCAGAATGTAAAGTAAATAGTGGGTCAGGCTGAGCTGGAAAGTAGTACACTTAGCCATGAGAGAGGTTACCAGGGTTTCTTGGCCATGCAGGATTGCTTGAACCCAGGAATTGAGGTTAGCCTGGGCAGGGAGAACCCACTGGTGGATAATACAAGAATGAAGTTGGGATGGTTATCTCAATTTCAGTGGAAATTCTTCACTATATAAAAGAAAACATATATGAGAAAGATTCCATGTAAATAAAATGTATATAAAAATACTAAAATGTATACAAATATAAATACTAATTTTGAAATTTTCTTTTTTTTTAGGAAAATGTCAGATGAATTTTCGGTAAGTTGAAACTTGCTAAGGTTTTTTTGTTTTGTTCTTTTTTAATGGTCTTGCCAGGGAAGATGGTGTATACTTGTAATTTCAGCCGTATAGAGGTTGTGGCAGGAAGCTTGTGAATTTCAAGCAAGCCTGGGCTATCCATTGAGACCCTGTCTCCTTATAAATAGTGGAAAACCTTAAAATAAAACAAAACCACATGGTCCTAACTGTAGGGCAGATAAGTCTTTTTAACTTAAAAAAGATAATGTGCTTAGACTTTTAGTTATTTTTTTCCAGATTTTTTATAGGTATAATTACATTGTCATGGTAACTCCAGTTCCAGGAGACCAACACCCTTGGGCCTCTGCCAGCACCAGGCATGCACATTATGAATGTAAATTCATGAAGGCATGAGTTTGCTTTCATGTTTCTGTGATAATGAGTCTGAGCAAAGGCAACTTGGGAAGGAGAAGCTTGTTCTCATCGTACAGCTTATAGTGCATCGTGAAGGGAAGCCGGGGCAGGAGCCTGGAGGCAGGACTGAGAACTTAGGCCATGGAGGAGCACTGGCTTGCCTTTGGAGTCACATTCAGCTTCCTTAGTTATATCTGCCAGGACCACTTTCCCAGGTGTGGTTCCTCCCATGGTGGACAGTGACCAAGAAAGTGCCTCACACACAGGTTTGCCACAGGCAAGTCTGATAGAAGCATCTCTGATGACCCCAGCTTACATTCAGTTGACAGAATAACCCACCAGCATGCACACATTCACATACAGTATAAAGCTGTTTTCCTTAAATTTAAGGTTAGCCTGGGCTACATGAAACCTTGTCTCAAAAAATAATGTATTTTCTTTTAAACTGTATTTACAGCATTACATAAATTGCCTCATTGAATGCTGAACTTAACTCTGAAACTGTTTTTCAAACTAAAAAAGTAAAGGTCGATGGTAGAGATCCTGTTCCTGTGTTAATCACCATACTGCATTGTGTTCACACTGCTCAGAAATGAAACACAGTAGAACTGGCTGTATTTAGAAAATTTGAGCTTTGGAGAATTTGCACTGTGAAGTTAAATGTTCAAGATAACACCTCAAGTTCTTTTTTAAGAAGAGCTACTCTGATGAGTAGTTTAGTCTTTGAAGGTGCAATTGAGATTTGTGATCCCAGGTATATGAGATTATCATCATGTTTGCTTTGACGTGCCCCTGGATAAGACAGATAAGACATACCTATTTTGTATTACAGTTGGCAGATGCGCTACCTGAACCGTCCTCTGCCAAACCGTCTGCTGTGAGCAATGCAAAAGCTGGCCAGTCTGCTCCAGGCTGGCCAGGCTCCAACCCTTGGAGTAACCCAAGTGCTCCACCTGCTATGCCATCTGGACTCCCACCAAGCGGTGCAGCTCCCGTCACTGTGCCTTTCGGACCAGCACCAACAGGAATGTATCCCTCTATGCCTCCAACTGGACCTCCACCAGGACCCCCAGCACCCTTTCCTCCTTCTGGACCATCATGTCCGCCACCTAGTGGTCCTTATCCAGCCCCTACTGTGCCAGTCCCTGGCCCCACAGGGCCATATGCTACGCCAAATATGCCCCTTCCGGAGCTACCTAGGCCATATGGTGCACCCACAGATCCAGCTGGTACTTTAGGTCCATGGGGATCCATGTCTTCTGGACCTTGGGCACCAGGAATTGGGGGTCAGCATCCTAATATGCCGTATCGATCTCCAGGGCCATATCCCACTGTTCCTCCCCCAGTGTCAGGAGCACCACCTGTTCCGTGGGGCACTGTGCCACCAGGAGCCTGGGGACCACCAGCACCATATCCTGGCCCTGCAGGATCATATCCCACACCAGGACCCCATCCTACTCCGAATAACCCTTACCAAGTGCCTTCAGGACCTTCTGGTGCTCCACCAATGCCTGGTGGCCCCCATGTAAGTGCTCGGCTTGTTGTTGACCATGTAGTCAGTCACACTGGCACACTGGAAGATTGTCCTAGGTGGGGCATTAGAGAAAGAACTAATACTTAACATAGTTGTGGGTCTCTAAGTTGAGTCAAATATGAGAACTTCGGGCTCAGGTGCAGCACTGTACTGAAGTATTCTTCCTGCTATGAACATAGAAAGGAGACATCTCAGAGCTCCTTAAAGACATGCACTACAATAAGCTGTGTGCCCCTCAGCACCCTTAGATGACTAAGATGCATGTCGTGGGCTGTGGTGTTGGCGGTGGCGGTTGTTTTACCATTCTTGGTGTCCTTTTGCTGCATCACACCAGAGTGCAGCTTGAGAAAAAGCTTGTCTGTGTTGATGGAGAGCACATGGGGCAATGAGTATATAGTAGACATTGTCCATGTCACACAGTTCTCCCTAGGTGGGTTGGTTGGATGGTTGATTTTTGGAGACAGGGTTTTTCTGTGTAACCCTGGCCATCCTGGAACTCACTCCATAGCCAAGCCTCTGCTTCCCAAGTGCTAGGCTTAAAGGCATGCACCACCACTGCCCGGCCCCAGCCCCCCTCCCCAGTATTTTTTGAGCCTGGCACTATGCCACTATTCTTGTAAAGCAACCTGTTAACTCCTAACCTATGAGACAAGCAAGCACATCTCTATGTAGAGTAATTAAACATCTCAGCTGTAAAGAGGAACCTTCTTAGTAAGGTGTCCTGGAATCTCACTAATACAATCTGGCTATAAACTCCCCCAGTTGGTTTTTTGTTTTTTTTTGTTTGTTTGTTTTGTTTTTTTCCCCTTGCAAAATCTGGCCCACAAAGAGTTAATAACTATACCATGCTAATTCTATGTGGGAGGCACAGAGGTCCTTGTGCTCACAGGTAAGCACTAGGGGAACCAGGCATGTTAAACAGGGTTGTCTCTTCTAAGGGGGAGATGTATAACCTGTTTTCTGCCCAGAAAACTGGGAGCAGATGTGGTCATTAAACTGGTGACCTTTGCACTATCTGAGTGGCTGGACCATGCTGGATCCTCCCACATACCCTTACCATGAACTTGTCAATCTGTATCTTTATGTCATGTGTACATAACGGTTTCAATGTAGTCATATCTTAAGCTTTATTGTGCACACGGGGTTGAGTTACCTATCACCAGGAAAATTTTCAGGAAGTTGTGCTGTACATGAATGTGCCTAAAATGAAATACTTACAGTCAGACTCCCAGAGTTGGAACCAACACCAGTTACAAGTCATGTTACTTCTGACCTCTTGCCTCCTATGTATCATTGCTCCTTATTCCCAGTGACCCTCTGCAGCTGGTGCCAATTTTATTAAATACTGCTGCTACTAAAGTAGGAGCTCAGAATTAATTGCTTACTTCCTTATCAATTACTTAATCCTTTCTTCCTCATCACCAACTGGAATTCTGTGTCAATAAAGTAATGGTATTATAAAAATTTTGACAATTTTTAGGCTTAAATGATGATTGTTAGGGAACTTATTAAATAACTTCTGGTAAAGAGCCTATAGGATTTTAGTGCCAGTAGATAAAATTCGGGTTATTTGTTCTGTACTGATAAAAATTGGCAGGTAGCATTAGCGCATTACTTAGGATCTATAGATAACCATTATCTAAAGATCCAATTTTAAGAGGTTTTGAAGATACCCACCCCATAGGTATTACCAAAAGTTACATCTAAAAATCCTGTGGAGATTGCTACTTATGCTTTTATAGATGACTCTTCAAAAGGACAAGGAGCGTATGTTTTATACACTAATTCTACATCTTCCATAAAAAAAAGATTGTACCCTCCCCAGCTCAAGAGTCTGAACTTACCATAATCATCTTTTATTAGGTGTTTATCAGCCATTGAATATTTTAACTGATTCTGCATGTTATACTAAAATTATTTCTCTTTTAGAGACTGCATAACTTAAACCCATGTCCATGCTAATATTACTTCAAATTTGTTTCTCTCCCTTCCGATGTCTATGTGACAACAAACTCAGCATTGTTTTATAACTTGTATTCATGCTCATTCTAATTTGCCATACACCAATGCTTAAACCAGTATGCTGTCTTCCTCCTCATTCATAATTCTTTCTTTCCAGGTCACTCAAAACTCTCATAAACTTTTTCATCAAATTACAAAATCTTTGCAGGTGTAATCCTTTACCTCTTGAGCAAGCAGACAGATCATCCTGTTCTTTCATCCCACTGTCATCTCCTTAAGGAATTGATTCCCCAAGCCCTGAAATCTAATGCCATTTAACAGACAGATATTACTCTTACCTCAGAATTTGGACATTTAAAATACATTGATACTTTTTCTAAAATGATTGTTGCTTCTCTTTACAGGGGTGAAACAGTTGTTTGTTTGTTTGTTTGTTTTTTGTTTATTACATACCTTTTCCTTTCTAGGACTCCCATTGCAACTAAGAACGGATAATTCTTCTTACATTAACAAATACTTTAAAGAATTTTGGAATTTGAGGAATATAATGTTACTGGAATGCCTTATAATATACAGGGTCAAACTGTTATGGAACAACACCATCAGATACTTAAATGGCAAACTTTAAAAGAGGGGGGGTGTAGACACCCACCTAAATCCCCTCACAGTATGCTACATTTAGCTATGCTAACTTTAAATTTTTTCACTTTAAAGGATATTGTTTCTTCTGCTACCCAAAAGCACTTTGCCCAAAAGGAGTCACAGCCTACAGTGTAGGTTAAATGGAAAGCTCTAGATGCTAATGAGTGGAGGGACCCAGTGTTCATGGAACATCAGGACAAGGTTATGCTTGTGTCTTTCTAGAAAATGAATGAAGTTCCAGGTGACTCCCATTCTGATGAATCAGAGCAAGAGAGCACCCCAGAGTCCACTGGGCAAGTGAAACTTCTCAAGGTAGACAACAAACCTATCAGGAAGCGACGTCCCAAGAGGAAGAGTAAGCCAGTAACTTGGGGAGACATCAAGAATTTAACTCATCAAGCTGAGACCTTGGGGAAACAACAAGGACACAGTACAACTGACCCAAAAATGATGTTGTTAAATTTAATGACTATATTACATGTTAATTCTCAGCATGACCCTTCAGATCCCAAATGACTTTTCACTGGGGGAGATAAAGGTATTCCTGTAGTAGACAGTGTACTGTTGTTTTGCCATTTAAGTATTGTTTTAGTCCTTTGGTACCAGTTGTATGGACAAAAGATAATGTATAAATATTTAGTCAAATGAATGGAGGCTATATTAATTGAACTAATCTAATGGCTCAATCCAACCACAATAATACAGATTTTAGCATAACTAAGTACTCTTTAAAAAGCTCTTGAGTGTGGAAATTATAGTTGTATGATGATTTTTAAAAAGGAATTTCTGATGTATTTCTTACTAAAGTTGATATTATTGTACCTAGAATGGTGTTATCTGTTTCCAATGGTTTAGAAAATAACATGTGGCCTCCTTTGGTGCATATCAGTCAACAAGACCAATCTTTGTGCAGAGGAGACCCATCTAATCCCAGGGTATTATATGACATAGGTGTTACTCATAAGCATTATTCACAAATAATGGTCCGAAATAGACTCTACCCATGCCAATATTCATAGGGTTTTCCTGATGGTCCTGTCAGTGGGGTTTTGTTTGTTTTTGTTTTTTGGGTTTTCTTGTTTTATTCTCACATTGTTTCTGCTTTAAATGTACTTTTATCCCTGCTTATTGCAATTTCATGTCTAATCATATTCTTCCCTCTTGTAAACAACTGCTTTTTTAATAACAAAAATGCTACTTACAATGCCCTTCCTATGGGTTGTAAAGGTTTATGTGGGATATGCTACATTACTTCCATTTTGTTCAGTAAATCTTTGCAGTTGATCAGTAGAATAGAGAGCTCTTCTGAAAATTGTGATGATTCTTTCCATCTATTGCGTTCTGTAGTGATTACAACTATATAGCTTTCTTTTTTTTTACTGCCATTTCCAGAAATGATTACTGTAATACAAGGAGAGCTCTCAAAGATGGCCTGTATGATTAGTAAAATTGCTAATATTACACCAACTATATTAGCATAAATTAATTAGAGGTGGGCGAACCATGGTTTAACAAAATAGAGCTGCTATGGATTATTTGTTGCTCAAACATAACCATAATTGTCAATGATTTTCTGGTATGTGTTGCTTTAATGTGTCAGAATTTCCTCATACTATCGATGGTCAAATTAATGGTTTGTGTAAAGAGACGCATTCTCACTGGTAACCTTTGAATGGCCATCATAGTTAAGATAGCTTTAACCTTTAAGATAGCTCTATCAGCTATTTTTATGATTCTGTTATGCTAGCCACACAGGCAGTGCATTCAACCTTGGCCACAATGTTCTCTTTTCAAAATAAAAAAGAGGGAGATATGGGAGCTCTAGGGGAACCAGGCATGTTAAACACGCAGGGTTGTCTCTTCTAAGGAGGAGATGTATAACCTGTTTTCTGCCCAGAAAACTGGAAGCAGATGTGGTTAATAAGCCTGGGGACCTTTGCACTATTTGTGTGGTCAAGACCACACTGGATCTACCCCCAGATCCTTACTGTGAACCTGTCAATATACAGATCCATCTTTATGTAAGGTGTCATCTGTACTTTACAAAGTGTTTCTATGTATTCCTGTCTTAAGCGTCATTGTGTATATGGGATTGAGTTATTTATCACAGGAAATTTTTCAACAAATTGCACTGTACTGAAAGATGCCTAAAATAAATTATGCAGGGTCAGACTCTGAATAATTTGAACCAGCTACTGAGTCTGGTTAAACTGAGCTGCCTTCCCTCCTGCAGATTGCTACTTGTCACATGTGACTGGTAAACTGCAATGTGGTAGGCAATCTGCATGTGGCAGACAGCCACATGTAGGTGAGCAGCATTTGGCAAAGACATGTTTTTCCATAGAGACATAAAATTAACAACAGCTGAAGTAAATTCACTCCTGTCCACTACAGTTCTGTGTTTTTGAAGAAACTGAGGTCACAAGGATGCAAGATATCCAGAGTGCTCTTGCTTTGAGATGTTGTAGATAAGTCTGTCGTTTGGTACTTGAGTACCCTATAAGCAAGGAAATTATAAATATAATAATATTAAAACAGTGAAAAACATAACATGTAATACTCTGCCACCAAGAACAGAGATCTAACTGTCCGGTACTATTGTTTACTTTATATTGTCAGAAAAATCTAGTGAACTCCTTGGAAAGAGACTCATAATTAGTAGTCTTTTTGCCTTACAAAACTTTAATAGGAATATAAATGTTGTGATGTCCTATGCAAATAGAAAGTGACTTAAATCCCTAGGAAAAAATAAATGCAGCTCCGACAGATAAATGAAGGAGTCTTACAGTCTCATGGTCTGGGCACAAACACAGAGTTAATAAAGATAACATGGGGTGGTCTCTACAAGTTAAAGCAAAGGTGAAAGAGAAAGTAAAGCCAATACAGAGGCACTCACTACAGATGCTCAGATCATAACAGCTAGCATCTTCAGAAAGAGAGTCTCAGGTGATGAGGGGCTCTGTGTATTTTGTAGAATAACCTCTTCCATGGTGCACAGGGCCTTAACTTGACCCCAGGTGGACATTTGACTTCTGATGTATTGGCCAGACAGCAGGAGCCAGAGGATTTCATAATATTTCGATGGCTCCATCTGCCATGATAGACTCATACCCATTCCCGATTACTTTTTCGGCCAACCAGGCTTCCAAGTCTCATTGTTTAAGTCTTGCAGGCCCATTTAAAGGCAGTTCAGAATGTTCTGTAAAGAAATGTTTTTGAACTCTTCTAAACATACCACCTTGAGACTAAGTTTTAAAATTAAAAGTAAATAAGCAAAGTGTAAGACTATACTTTGGAGCGCCTCCTGTTTGTTTTTTTAATAATTGTTTTAGTGTTCTGTGTTCTCTTTAAATTATACCCTGGCCTTGAGGATGAAAAAAAAAATGCCTGTAATATGATTAATATTCATTCTTTCTTTAAGTTGAGTTTTTTACTGTTGTTGGCTGGTCCATTGTCAGTTTAGTAGGCACTCCCTAATAGTAAAAGTTTCTATAAGAGAAGCAAATACTCTTAGAGAAACATTCTCTGAAGGTTGAGGTACAACCCAAAGGAATGTAGATTATCAATGCAGATGGGCAGGTACCACATCTTAGGCATAAGAGCAAAGTGAGGAACATATATTTGCCATAATTCATTGATATTTACCTCTGGGATGCATTCCAGCTATATAACAGTATAAGGGAGCACAAATAGGACATTCCTACACAATTTGTCCCACTGGTATAAGTGGGATATAATAGTATACATGCAGTCTGTTAGCATTAGTGTATAGTAAGTAGTGATGTTCCTGTTCTGGAGAAACAATGTAAATTGCTCTTATAACAAAGGAATGCTGAGAATCCAGGAGCTCCTGTCTTATGTCCTAAATACCATAAAGGAAAACATTGGGCTAAGGAGTGCCCAACTTGATAATGGTAAATTTGATAAGATTAGCATTAATAACAAGACTGTGACTGTAGGACAAATTATGCCTTCTATACTAACACATTTTAATTTTGTACCACCTTATTTAATCTTGTTGGAGCTCATAAGTCTGAACCCTGTAGGGTTTGAATTTACCTCCATGGCAGGCCATTTGGAGGACCATTTTTCTATGGGTATATAATAGAGACATCAGTCAGATTCCAGAAATAAACTCACTTATATCGATGTGCTTGGGAGAGACCCAGAAACATAATCCAGGACCAATTCCATGTTATTGAAGAAACTGGGGGCTTGGTTTCTTGTCGCTTTCCCACAAGCATTGGGGAATCTCACAGGACTGTTCTTGGACTATTCCAACAGTTTTGTTCTGCTGGTTGTTGTGTTCACAGAGACACACAATTATAGAAGTTGATTTTTTTTCCCCTTTCTTTCTGTTGCAGTACCATTAAGTTGACAGTGGACGAAGAGATGGCGCATTTCTTTTTGAAGTACATGTACATGCACATGAAGGCATATATACAAATGGCTGGTTTCGCTATTGGTAAAGGACATTCATGAAAGAACAACTTTTGTACCTCAGAGAGTTCCTGCTTCATGTGTTTGGATATGTAGACCATCATGTGGGTACAATCAGATAAAATGTAAGAGCAAACCAATGTGGTTAATGTGGTTGTGTACATTGCATAGCTTTTGATAATAATTGTTTAAAGTATAGCTATACCCTCAGAATCTAAGACTACGTGGATTATTGTTAGAACCTGTAACTTACTTGGCAAAGTAATTCAAGTATTTTTTTATAGTCACCCCCGTATAACTGAAAACAATTGTGAAATTAAAACATGACTCAACATTTTGAGGTCCTCTACCTACACAAACCAGGGCCTCTTGTTATATTTTAGCTACACAAATGTATGGTGTGTGTGTTTACTAGGGTTAATTCAACATTATACCCTGTTCTGCCAAAATAAGATAATGTACCTATAAGATAATGTTTGTTGCTTTGACAGAGCTCTAGCAAAATTTCAGTGCCAAATGCACTTCGATAAAAATTAGACTGCCCATGCTCTGAGCCCAGCCTCAGGAAGAGATAGAAAGATGGAGAGAATGAGGAAGGCCTCTGCTGCTGGGAGGTCACTATTGCAAATCTCGTAGTCCACCCAGCGGTCTTAAGCCAGCAGGGGGTGCTGGGAAATTTCCTCTCTGGCCTACAGCAGGACCAACACAGGGATGTCATATTCCTGCTTGACAATCCAACTGGGAATTCACAGTTACACAAGGTAGTTCGTTTCTAATATTGTTAAGTTATAAGTTAAGTTACTGGCTGGACTAAATAAGCATTTAATGACCTTTTTTTTTTTTTTATGGGAAGAATGCTCTAAATTTGAAATGACATTCTCATAATGACTTGAACCACAACCTATTTGAGTTATGGCAGGATTACACACATGTAATATATGTTTCTTGGCCTCAGTATACCGGACAACTGAAGGAGAAAACTCTTTGGTTGGCAAAGCCGTGGTCCTCAATAGACCAGGTGCGGGGTGTGCCAAGGATGCCATAGCAGTGACTCCTGACCCAAAAATGTCACTGATCTTCCTTCCTACCAGGTGGGTTCAGGCATTGATTCACAAAGATACCTCCTGCATTAAGCCTTAAAACTTTGTTAAGTACATTTGGTGCCAACATTTTTCTACAGCACTGGCAGAGCAAGAAACCTGTCTTTAGAGTATAATGTGATTTTGAAAGGAACACTTAGTTATTTTGGCAGAACTGGATATGATGATTGAATTAAGCTTAGTAACCACAAAAAGATTGCTGATTCTTCTTCTGGGGCTTCTTGGGTCTGGAGCCCACCCTGCCAGTCTGAGCATCTGGGCTGGAACATACCGTCACTGCCCTGCCTGCTTATGTGATTTTAAGCCAATGATGATAAGCCGCCAAGTTCATCAGCCAGTGTTTTGTTGTTGGGGGTGGAGATTGTTAGTAGAATATAATGGCTCATCCTGCATGGTGTGCTGTGGATGGCACTTCATTTAAAACCTTGTTTTTGGCCTTTCAATTGATAATTGGGAGTTATTGGATTTATTGTTAATTATTTAATGTAAGAGTGGAAATCAAAGGGAAAGCAGAATTTTCTGTTATTTTTTTCACAGAACATTTCGCCTATTGTCCTCAGAATAGAGTATTTCTGGGTTCAAGATGCAATCAAGAAAAGCAAAAATAAATAAAAAGTAGCCTAATGAGGAAGAGAATCCAGAGTTTTCTATTTTAACCTAAGAAAAGAATAATACTATTTTCAGAACAAGCCTCGCTGGGCCAAGACTGATCTACTAAAAAAAAACAGCTTGTAAATAAGTGCTTGGTCCAAATTACACAATTTGTTGACATGGGCTGATAAAAATTTTAAATAAGGCAAAAACAGTTGAGGTATATGCAACAATAGTGTTTCTGCACTTGGAAGGCACAGGCAAGTGGATCCTTGTGAATCGGAGGCCAGCCTGGTTTACAGATCAAGTTCCAGGACAGCTAGGGCTGTCAAAATCATAGGTTTTACAGTGTACACTTCTTTATCCAAGAATTCCCTCCTTTGTTCATCTTACTGTCATTACAGGATAATAGGGCAGGCAACAGAATGTTCCAGAAAACATTTTTCTTATGGGCTGGAAAGGTGACTCAGGTTGAGAATATTGGCTGCTCTTCCTGAAGTCATGAGTTCAATTCCCAGCAACCTCATGGTGGCTCACAACCATCTACAGTGAGATTTTGTGCCCTCTTCTGGCAGGCAGACAGAACATTGTATACATAATAAATAAATAACAAACAAAATCTTTGCAGGGCAATGTTAGCGCTTGCCTTTAATGAGAGGCAGAGGCAGGTGAATCTTGGTGTTCGAGGCCAACCTGACCTACAAAGCAATTCTAGGACAGATTCTAAAGATACATGGAGAAACCCTGTCTACAAAAAAAAAAAAAAAAAAAAAAAAAAAAACAGAAAAAAGAACACAATTTTCTCATGATGCACCTGACAAGCTAACACTGTCTTTTTACACACACACATACACACAGAGCTTTTGAAACTTGGTGTAGATTAGAGATCTGTTCAGTTTCTGTTAAGAGGATACCTCATTTTTTTCTTTTTTTCTTTCTTTTTGTTTTGTTATTTGTTTTTTCAAGACAGGGTTTCTCTGTATTGCTTTGGAACCTGCCCGAGAACTAGCTCTGTAGACCTGCTGGCCTCGGACTCACAGAGATCCACCTGCCTCTGCCTCCCAAGTGTCTTGATTCAAGGTGTCTGTCACCAATGCCCAGCGAGGATACCTCGTTTTCATAACAGTTGCCTGCACTTTTCTAAAACAACTAGTGCCATGTTTTCCTCACCCTCAGTGATTTGGAGCTAGCTTTGTCAAATGCCAGGATTGCAAGCTCTGGAAATTAAAGTGTAAGCACAAGCCTTTAATCCTTCTAATGTTTAGAGAAGTGTAAGCCTACCTGAAGGAGCTGCTGAGAACAGTGGGTGCCCTCAGGGAAGACCAATCGTAGGGGAGCAAATGTCACACTTTATTTTCAGAATTCTGCCAAGTCAAACAAAAATGGGTAATGGGGGTGGGGCCAGAGATACCATGCACACTTCTAGCTAGAGAGGGGCTCTGGTCCCCATGCTAAAGAGTTAGCCACACTGATACTAGCCATGTAGGTAAAAACTAATCAACAGTAGCTTTCAAGATAGCAGATTTCTTGTGGCATTGTAAGTGGCATTGTATTTGGGGGGGGTTTGTTTGTTTTGGGGTTTTTTTTGTTTTTTGAGACTGGTTCTTACTATGTAACTCTGACTATCCTGGAGTTCTTAATATAGATAAGGAACTCCCAAAAATCTTCCTGCCTCTGCCTCCCAAATGCTGAGATTTAGACATGTTTCTGGCTTGTTAATGCTGTGTGTGTGTGTGTGTGTGTGTGTGTGTGTGTGTGTGTGTGTGTGTGTAAAGAGCCTGGTGATGGCGGCACATACGTTATATCAGCATTCAGTAGAAGCAGAGGAAGTCGGATCTCTGAGTTTCAGGGTAGCCAGGGTTACACAGAGAAACCCTGTCTCCAAAAACAACAAAAGCAAAGGAATATCTTTCAAGATGGTACTGCTGATCAGTGCAACTATTCAAGTGTGCAAAGTAGCAGGATGTTTTTCCTCTGCTTTTCTGGACTGAGACACTTGCACAGCTTATCACTCGTTGGCAGTCGTCAGCTTGTTCCATTAAGTAGATCTGATTTGTCTGTGTTCTATAAAGATGTTTTTGTAATTCTTGAAATTGTGATTTTTTCCACTTATGGAATAATGGTAAATTCGATGTGTTTTACTGTCTATGCATTTTAACTTAAGCTGCCTGTCATGTGGTTTGAGACATACACGTTTGTACTATGAACTATAAGCGATGGAGGAGACTAGGTGTTATCACCTGCTGCTGGATTTGCAAACAAAGACAAATGTTGCTTGAAGAAAGAATTAAAGTTAGAAGTAGGCTACCGATGTGATGTTTCATATTTTTAAGGTAAAGTTGTTTGCTTTTGTGTGTAATACCTAAAAGCCTTTTTAAGAAATGTATTTTCACGGTTTCACGGTTTCTCCATGTATTTTATTCCTGGGGCCCAAGGCTTCCCTAAAAAGTCCAGAGCCTATTTAACTTCCTGTTTGTAGCAATACCTGTGTGTGTGTGAAGAATTCCACCCAGCTTTCTGGAAAGAGCCTTGCTTCCTAAATACCCTTCAGCTACAAGGTGCCAGTACATGTGGTGAGGACTGCCCCCAAAACTAGGCCAGTCCGTAACCAGATTGTCTCCAACTGAAGTCAGGAACCATCCCTCTCCTCCCCTGTGGCCACCACCCCCATACTTACAAACTATAACTCCTATTGTTGTGACTGTCACACATGTGGTGAGAGTCACATTAAGCCTAATGAGGTTGATCCTGCCATGGGATCCTCCCATGTGAATGGGCTGAGAATGAAAATGTTGGAAAAGATTGCAACCTTTACCTTTTACAATAAACCTTATGGTTGTTTCTGATAATCTTTACGCCTGAAAGTGCCCACCTAAAATATAGCTAAGAAATAGTGAAATTGAAATGTAGGACTGGAGAAATGGCTCAGTGGTTAAGAGCACTGGCTGCTCTTCCAGAGGACCCAGGTTCAATTCCCAGTAACCACATGGCAGCTAACAACTGTAACTTTGACACCTCATACATGTAGGCAAAATACCAATGTCTACTAAATAAATACAAAAAAGAAATTGAAATATAGGATAGTCCTGGGATGGGCCCATTTGGTTGGCTTTCTCGTGAAATGGCATTGCTCTAACAAACATCTAAATTTCTTGGCTGTGCAGGTCCTTTTTACCATCATAATAGTACTCTTAGCTATTCACCTCTCCACAGTGGATACCTAACACAAGATTGAATCACATTTATTCAGTTATGACATGCAATAGAATCTAATGCTGGGAGAACTATTTGAGCCATCCTGTGACGTTTACTTCTGTGGCATCTACATGTTTTCTTTATTTTTACATGTCTGTGTGAAACCAGAAGAGAGCTTCAGGTCCCTGAACTAGAGTCACGGGTATCCGTGAGCTGCCTGACATGGGTGCTGGAGATCAAACTCGGGTTCTCTGGAAGAGCAGCAAGTACTCTTAAACACTAAACTATCTCTCCAGCCCTTGTATATGTTCTCTGAATTGAGTGAATGAAGCCATTTTCCCCCAATACCATTTTGTGGCTCTCTTGAGTTCCAAAGAAGTGGTAGAAAGAAGTATTTGCCCATAAGTTGTTTAGCATGGGAAGAAAATGCAAATGTGTGAAAGCTGACATTGTATATTGCTACACTGACTCCTGTTGAGATTTGTGTGAATCCTCATTTCAAGTCCTAGGAATAGTGTGAGAGAATCTCAGAATATCCAGGCCCTGCTGAAGTCTAAACCTTGTATAAGCTGTAAGGGTGCTAAGGGGTTGAGAAGATGGGTTTTGTGTGTGAGAGAGAGAAGAGAGAAAAGACAGACAGAGCTCTTACCAAACAGGAGGATCTGGATTTGACTCCCTAGGACCTATAAAGGCAGTGTGGTAATGCATGCTCTGACTCTCATTGAACCTACTGGGATGCAGAAGGATTCCTGCATCTTGTGGGCCACCTACCTGGGGCATACAGCAGCAGGGAGGCACAAGAGCCTTGGAAGGTGGAAGGTAATGGCCTCTGACATCTATGTGTGTATCGTGACACATACATTCACACATGAATGCATGCACAGGAAAACAAGACATTGGTAAATTGAAGTTATTAATACATATTAACTTTTAAGCCTCATTTTATTTAGCAGTTATTTAGGCTGGTGTTACATAAAATGGTTTAAGTTAGTTTTAAAAGGTAGCTTCTTGGGGTCTGGAGGTGGCTCAGCAGTTAAGAGCCCTAACTTCCCATCTACATGACCTGGTTCAGTTCCCGTCACTTACATAGCAGCTCACACCTTCTGTTACTTCATTGTCAAGTGATCTGGTATCAGACACAAACATGCAGGCAAAATATCCATACACATAAAAATAGATATGTGGTTAAAGGAAGGGAGAAGCTGCTCTTTAGAGCTAAGAAACCAAGTTTAAAAGACGTTAGGTAAAGCCCAAGGACATCCCTCGTTGATAGTCAGCTGTCCTGTCAGTGAGACATCCTGTCCACTGGGTTATGCCATACTCCACTATGCACTACACTTTCATATGGTTCCTTCATGGTTAGTCTAACTAGACCTTTGTCTTGGTTTTGTCCTTTTAGTGTGCCCTGTATAGATGCCAAAGCTCTGGGTTTAGGGGAAAGGCTCAGCTCTGTCATTTTGAGATGAAGAAGCCAGAGTCAGTGGAGCTTCCTCTTGTCATACTTGTTGCTCTGCTGCTTTTTCTGTGATCTAAAGGTTGCCCTCTGTCTGCTGTTCATACCTGTGGTCAGTCTCACACTTCAGAAGAGAAATACCTTCCTGCAGTTTACATGCAGGATCCCACTTAGCCTCACAAATGAAGACATTATCTCCATTTTATAGATGAGAAAACTAAGGCTTTCCAATGGTAGAGCTCTCACAGACCCTATGTTATGGGG